GTCACCGGGACGGGGGCTTGGGGGGCCTCGCTGCTTGCCGGGGGTCGCAGGGGGACGGGGGGGATGCGGAGCCCCGGGGCCGGCCTGCAGCCTTCCCTGGGCGCTGCGCGCTAGCACTAGGAAAAGCCGGGCAGGAGGATTTCCCCCCTGCGCTCCCGTGTCCCTGCTCTTGCTTTGGGCACAGAGACCCTGACGGCTGGAGCCGCCGGTGCGGCCTGTGCAGGACAGAGACCCCGGCGAGAGGCTGGGGGCAGGAGGGGATTGCCCTGACATCTCTGCAGAGGTCCCCGGCAGGGCGCAGCGGCACCGAGCTTTAATCTTGATCATATGGAGCCCCCCCCCGTCGCAGCGGGCGATTTTGCTAAACCTTCTTTTCCCTTAGTCCGCCTTGCGTGAGAGTGTGACTTAGGTTTATTCTTTTCCCTGGGGCTCAGGGGGTGGGAAGCGGATGCCCATTAGGAACCGGAGCGGAGAAATAAGTCAATCTGCCGTCTTATATCAGGTTGCATTTTTTTTTTCCTGCCTTGCTTTCCCCCCCAGGTGGTTTCAGCAAGTTCCAGGCCGAGTTCGCCCTGCACTGTGAAACTAACCTAGACAGCTCGTGTAGCAGCAGCTCCCCTCCCCTGCCGGTGCTGGGCTTGGGGGGCCTCCGGATCAGCTCCGATTCCTCCTCAGACATCGAGTCTGACATTGACAGAGACCCCAACAGTGCCACCGACTCGGATGGCAGCCCGCTGTCCAACAACCAGCCTTCCTTCCCGGTGGAGATTTTACCCTACCTCTACTTAGGCTGTGCCAAGGACTCCACTAACCTGGACGTTTTGGAAGAGTTTGGCATCAAATACATCTTGAATGTTACCCCCAACCTGCCTAATCTCTTTGAAAACGCTGGCGAATTTAAGTACAAGCAGATCCCCATCTCTGACCACTGGAGCCAAAACCTGTCCCAATTCTTTCCTGAGGCCATCTCCTTCATAGGTGAGACCCGCTTGCTCGCTAACAAATATGTGTCAAGCTGCAGAATGCAGTTTCTTTTGCAGAATTCAGGAGATTTCAGGCGAGAAGCAGTAGCAGCGTTTCCTGCATCTCTGAGGGTTGTTTGGCTTTCTGATTTATTGATTGATCTATCATTTATTTTTGATGCTGGCTTAAGTCGGGCGGGTGCTACTCCCAGGGTTACCAATGAAAGCTGGTGAATTTTGACCCATGGTTGCAGGGTGCAGACACATATCCCTGCCTTAAGCGGCTGTCGGGTCGGTGTGGGAATCTTCCCAGAGCAGCTTGTGCGGAAGCTGGGCACGGAGCAATGTGCAGGATGGGGGATATTTTTAAACCCGTTATAAAACAAACAAAATCTTCCTCTTCATGTTACTGAAGAGTAAGTATAATAAAAACAAAAAGATGTAGGAAGCTAACTTTAGCATTTAAATGCAGCTTATTCATAACGGTATTCCTGGCAAGAGTGTAGCGAGGGCTTTAATTAAATCTTGTGGCAATAACGATTTTACCTCTTGGGCTGTGTGCCTCAGTTAGGCAGCCCTTGAACAGTCGGCTCTGAGAACGGGCCCCTGGACTTAAGGGGCTCTACTTTTTTGGGGAAAAAATCATTTTAGTGGAGTCTGAAGTGGCCCCGTTGGGGTGGGCATCGTGTTATCTGTTGGGAAGCTGTGCTGTAATCCGGTTCAATGATACCGGTAATAGTGGCCAGTGTAGGTAATCTGAGCCCAGCAGGAAGAAATGTGGGCTGGAAGCCACAAAGAAACTAATCTCCAGGCATTGTAATGCATTTCCTATTACAAAGGAACCCATTTTCAACCAATGTTGACATCCTGTTCCTCCTAATGGGCTGTCCCCTGTGACTTCCCTCATTCTTTTAAAATGCCTGAATACGTCCATTGTTAGCGGCACAACAGTTGGAGAATAATTTAATAGACCTTTGCAGTCTGCTGCTCTGTATAAAAGGCATTCAGTGACATATTGCAGGATTTCCATGCTGGGGCAAGGGGACTGCAAGAATTTGAGGCACATTTCCAAGCCAAAGAGTGCCTTTTAAAAGTGGCTTTTTAAACAGTGGCATGCAGTGTCATCTTGTTCTCTCTCGTTCTTAATTTTTCTCAGCTTTGGCTCTCTGGTATGAATGCTTAGGAGGCTGGAGTCTCCTCTTGTCCTCATTTCAAGCCAGCGAAGTTAACTCTTTCATTGCCCTGTCAGCCCTTGAGATTGGAATCGCCCCTTCTTCTTACTTGATACATGTTTGTGTGGTGGGATTGGTTGCTGAGCCCAGTGTCTTAACGTGCCCTTCTCTGCCTCTCTGTCCCTGTGCAGATGAAGCTCGGGGGAAGAACTGCGGGGTCCTGGTGCATTGCTTGGCGGGGATCAGCCGCTCGGTCACGGTGACGGTGGCCTACCTCATGCAGAAGCTCAATCTGTCCATGAACGATGCCTACGATATTGTCAAGATGAAGAAATCCAACATTTCACCCAACTTCAACTTCATGGGCCAGTTGCTGGACTTCGAGCGAACTCTGGGGCTGAGCAGCCCCTGCGACAACCGGGTGCCGAGCCAGCAGCTCTATTTCACCACCCCTTCCAACCAGAACGTCTTCCAGGTGGACTCGCTGCAGTCCACGTGAGCTCCCGCCGCCTCCCTCGCCCCTCACAGCATCGTTTCCTCAGTGGTTCCTCTTTGGCAGTGGCAAAGCAAACGCAGCTTTCTCTTTTTCTGGTCTCTGGTGTCAAAAAGCAGCTGCCGAGGCAGGCTAGGAAAGGTTACACGGAGCGAGCTCTGCTCTCGTGAAGGGTGGGAAGGTGGTGAGATCCCTGGGAAGGAGGAAGGTAGCGAGCAGCCAGCCGGGGGCAGCACCCCCGGGCGCGGGTGCTCCCGCAGCAGCTCCGATCTGAGGACTTCCAGAGGGGTCCGGGTAGGATGGGACAGCCTGAGCACGTGCTCTCTAGTGACTGGAACTACATACTATTTCCTCCTTTGCTTCTGGATCTGTGACATACGGTTCTGTCTTCAGTGAAGACTTTGTTTGTTTGGTGTTTTTTTTTTTTTTTTTTTTGGTCTGTTTTAATTTAGAGGAGCCAAAGAAAGAGATTTCAGCTTAGTGTATCTGAACTACTTGTTTGCCAGGAGCTCAGTAGTATGCTACTTGATCAATGTAAATATTTAATCTTGAATCAATTTGCATTTTTTTTTAATTCACATGTATTCAAGAAGTCAATCCAAGGGACATCTACACTTTTGTTCTCTTCATAAATTCTTCTTATTTGTTTTTGTTTTTAATGAAAAGAATATATTTGCAGCATGCTTAATTTTATTGTTCAATTGAAGCAAGCTTTCCATGGGAAAAGAAATGGCAATGGAGAGAAGTTTGCAAATTGTGTTTTGTGAGCAAGAACAGTCTCTTCTTCCATACATTTTTTTTTTCTTTGTGGTGATTTTTTTCTCACACTTTTGATGTAGTTTCACATGATATATATATTTTTAAATTAAATTAATTTTTGCCTTACCTTTTGTAAATAGATCATCTGGGAGGAGATTTGTCTTTGAATGAGAGATTTTTTGATCACTTTTTAAAAACTTTCAGATGTGCTAAACAGTGCATTACCTCTGTACAAATTCTTCAGGGAGCTTCACCTCAAATGCAATATTTTGTGTCTTTTTTTTCTTTTTTTTTGTATAAAACTGGAAGTATGTGCGAGCATTTGTACCTGTGTGTGCGCACAGTGAACCTGCACACAGTTGCCAATAAGGGAGAGTCTAATTCATGGTGTAAAAGTTTTAAGATGGAATTTATTATAAGAATGTAAAACCTTAAATTATTAATAAATAAATAACTATTTTTGGCTATTGACAACCTGGCTGGTTTATTCCTGTCTTTCTCCTGTATGTGAGTATGGTTAATTGCACATACACTGCTATGCTTAAGGGTGATGACTACGTACAGCTCTTAAGGCAATAAAGTCTTAATCCCCCCCCTCCCCACACCCACACCTGAGTGTCCATGGATGCCCAAAGAATAAACAGTGACTATATTAGATTCTTGCCTCAGTGAAGGGAATTGTTTTGAAGGCCTTTGGTTTAATTATCTAAGAGTCCAGTGTCACTCTGCTACCCCATGGGTGCACCTGACCCCAGCACATCAGGTTCTCTGGAACTACTGTTTTCTGGCCCCACTTCCCCACTTACAAGCATTTGCCACTTTCTTGGAGTCACCAGGAACTGGTGTCCTCATGATCTCCTGTCCAGCAGCAACTCATTTCATAGATCCATAAACACTTTGCAGGCAGTAAATGATTTTCTGTCACTGCTCAGACATGTTGCACAGGAGGCAAGAAGGAAATCGTCTGCATGCTGTTAGTCCCCTCATTTCCTTTTTTTTTTTTTTTCTTCGACCATTCGAGTAGTGCTGTCTATGCAGCAGGAAAAGAGGGGGATTACTGTGATTGCAACACTTCCTGCTGTAACTTGTTCTTACTAACATCCTTCCTAAAGAGAAGTTTAGCTTGGAAGCATACTGTACAAGAATCAGTGGCCCAAGGTAGGGTGGTGCTAAACTCTGTGTGCAGTAACGCAAAGATTGCCTGATTCTCTGGCTTGGGCTGCCAGCTGGGAATTTTGCAGGACTCCTGGCCTGCAAAACATTCCATGTAATTTTAGCAACTGCAAGTGTGTGAAATGAAAAGCAAACAAAACATGGGAAAAAAAATTAAAAAAAAGAAAAGTGAGTCAGTGTTTCATGCAGTAGTGGCCTAGATTGAGTACATAAACTGTGAAAGTAGAAGTGGGTTGCAGTTAAACTTGGCTTGTGCTAATCCAGTTTTGAACGGTTTCCGCTCTTGGCATTCCCTGTGCTGCTCTGTTCAAAGTAGAGATTTGCAAGCAGCTCTAGCAATTTCCTGTCCAGCTGCAGCTTGAGTGACTTTTTTTTTTTTTTTTTAATATGGCCCGTGGATAATTTTAGCCGGTTTCCTCTTTGTGGATTATTAATCTGCTTTCCTTGCCGAAGCCGCAGCACTGTGTCCCTGCCGTTCTGCTGAAAGCTGCCCCCCCCGCCGCTTCCTCCCGCTCCGCTGTGGGTTTGCTGTCAGGCCACTTCTGAAATTAATAGTGTTTTCTGGCTGGCTGCCACCGGCCATTACCGCAAAGGGGAAGTCGCACATGTGAATCGCAGGAAGCCGGGCAGGGTCACGGCGTGGACTGAACCTGTTGAGCGCCGCGGGGCCCCTGCCGTGCGGGAGGCGTTGGGCTCCCTCCTCGCTCCGTTCCTCAGCGCTAACGCGCGGCGCGGATGCAAACAGCTCGTCCCGCACAGCCTGGGCTGCTCCTGCTCGCACCAGGCAGGCGATCCCGGCGCGGGGAATCGCAAATGCTAATGGTGACGAGGTAGCCGGCAAAGAGAGGAGGCAGCCAGCAGCCTGCAGTGCAGCAACGCAGCCGAGGGGAGCGCCTTCGCTTTTTACCTTTTATTTTTGTTGTTTTTTTTTTTCTTTGAAAAGTTAGTACTCACAAGCGCTTCCTGCTTCCTTCCTGCCTTGCTGAATGACTAACACTAGAGGGGTAGTTCTGCAATTCATCATTTTTTTTAATCTGGGACAGGCAAGTAAAGAGGCCAGTTTTGCTCTTGCAGAGAGCATTGCTCGCAACAGCAGAGCCAGGCAGAAAACTTTTCCTCCACTGGGACCTTGAACTGTGGTTGTTAGAGAGAAACCTTTGCTGAGCCCGAACCAGGATAAACAGCTGTGGTTGCAGGCAAACCCCAACCAGAGCTGGAACTGAACCAAAAGCTGGTTCAAACCCTGCTTTTGCTGAGGCCTTTTGCGTATGTTGATATGCTCAGTCTTCATCACAGATGACATGGAGAGAAAAAAGCTGGGGGGCTCTCAATGGCAATATTTCTCCCCCAAATACCCTCTCCTATGTAGCTCTGTCCCAACAAGCTGCAGGAAGATGGTTATGCCACACGAGCAGTTGCCAGCAGCTTTTCCCAGATCTGCTGCTCCTGCAGTTCCCCCAGCACTTGCTTCAAAACCATCCACTTCCTCCTGCCTCATCTCAGTCCTTGCTGGAACAGGGCAGGCTTCTGGGTGGGTTGGCAGGTTTTTCAGTTCCACAGCTGGTAAAATAATTTGTAAAGGGAAGAATAAATATAAATATGTAAGGAAAGTAGGAGTGGGGAGGGGAAGATCTCCTGCTACCGCTAAAAAAATCACAACCTGCTTCATATTGCAATGTGGAAGTGTGAAAGCGTGAATTACTTCAGGTGCTCTGGAGTTCCTCAGAGGGAGAACTGTCCCGTTCAAGAATGAATCCAACAGGATCTGTGCACCCTACTCTGTGCATGACCTACTTGGCCTGGAGCACCAAAGGTGAAGTTGTGTCATAGAATCATAGAATCATAGAATGCTTAAGGTTGGAAGAGACCTCTAGAGGTCATCTAGTCCAACCCCCCTGCACACGCAGGGTCACCTAGTGCACGTGGCACAGGACTGCGTCCAAGCGAGTTTTGAAGTTCTCCAAAGAAGGAGACTCCACAACCTCTCTGGGCAGCCTGTTCCAGTGCTCGGTCACCCTCACTGTTAAAAAAATTTTCCTTAAGTTCCTGTGGAACTTTTGATGCTTCAGGTTCTGGCCGTTTCCCCTAGTTCTGTCGGTGGCCACCAGTGAAAAGAGACCAGCACCATCCTCCTC